TGGATCAAAGCGCAGTGCTTTTTTCCCTCGGCGCTGTTCTTCCGACGACGTCATTACGAGTCCGGAGACGGTTCGCACTAAAAAGACGATGTCTTGTAGCCTAGAGCCCAAGGTAAGACCTCTGAGAAAAATTTTTATTGATGATTTTTTTTTTTTCACACTCTAAAAGTTAGTTAATATCTATTTATTAGAAAAATTGAAGTCAGAACGTACATTTCACTTGTTGTTTAATTAATAATGTGATTATCACTGTATCATATGGGGATTGCATTGATGATTTTATAATGGTTACGCTCCATTTTTTTTTTTTTTTTGAAGGTGAGAGAATTTGGGAAACGAGAGATTTAGTTTACAGCTTGTTTTGTTGGTGAAGAACCCAAACATTTAAGATGTAGGGATAAATTATTGGGTTTCGGAGACCCGATTTCGTTTGATTAATTGTAAATAACCGCTTAATCTTTATTTTCTTGGTTAAACTTTAGAAAAGTAGTCTTGACTTTATTTTTTTAATTTTATTTTTTTAATTTTTTTTATGTTGATCGTATAATAAGAGACAATATCTCTCATCTTTTATTATACTCTATCCGCATATTATACAACTTGAATTCAAAACTTCTCACTTTCAGTAAAAGAAGATTACTTTTAAGTCACTTAACTCATTTACATTTTATTTTTTTTAATTGAAAAACAGATTTCTATCTTGATTGGGATGGATGAAGCCACCAAATTTATATGTATATATATATGTGTGACAATTTTTTTTTAATTCAATTTAAACCATAAGATTTGCAGAATTTGATTTGCCTTTGAAGGGCTAGAGAGACGAATTCAGCAATACAATTGACATCTTTAGTGGAAGTTGTTATGTTGTATTGGGATTGGTTTGAGAAAAATAGAGAAAAAGGAATGAAATTTTATCTAATTAAATTAAGACTTTAGTTAACATTTTATTTAAATTGAATTAAATCAAAATAGAAATTAAATTTTTATAAAGTCAAAGTAAAATAATATAAATTTATAAAATCAAATAAAATCAAGTAAAATCAAAATTTTACAAATGTCAAAAGTTTTATAGTCATAGGCTATTGTTCAAATAACTATAAAAATATCATAAAAATGAGATATTTATTTAGCAATTTAAGAATAGATATCATTCTAAGTAAGTTTATCCATTTTGCATTATTCTCAACTTAACAAATTTGGAGAGTTTTTGGCAAAATACTCAAATGCACCCTTCAACTATAATAGTAGTAACAGATTCACTCTCAATAAAAAAAAATTTACTCCACAAACTAATCAACTTAACTATTATTATTATTATTATTTGAAACATTGGGAAATTGAGAGATTGGGGAATAGTTAGAATAATGTTGTAGTTATAGTTTGAACCCTTGATAAAGATGTCAGGGTTATTGGTGCCCTTATATTACGACTAATATTGTAAGTACCCTAATCAACTTATTATTGTGTTAAAAGCAGTGGCGGAACTACTAAGGGGAAGGGTTGGGCACAGGCCCTACCCTTCG